GAATCAACAGGGGCTCGCTGAAATTCGAGCTGACAAGCCGAAACTTATTGCAGAATCTGATGAGAACGTTTGTACGTTGCATCGATCGGCCGGCCATCGGTCGATCAGGTCGGTCAGGAATTACTTCCCCTTTAATCACCGCTCTATCGGCGATGAAAATAAAAATGCGCGACGCGAACGACAGGCGTCTTCGGGGAGAATTTCCGCCTCGGTTGCCTTTTCTTCCCTTTTAACCTCTTCTCTCCCCTCCGCCCCTCCCCCCCCTCTCTCTCTCTCTCTCTCTCTCTCTCTCTCTCTCCCTCGAACCGCGAATCTAGATGTCTCGAAAAGGTGAGGGACGACGGTGCGCGCGCTGAGGGGAGGAGGATAGGAAGGTGTCCTTGTAAAGAACGGTCGTAAAGTGCCGAACGCGTCGCTTAAAGGGTGTTCGCGGCGCTGTTACTTCGAGAAGAGCACTTTGCGCTATTACCAATCCACGAAACATGGCGATGTGACTGGAAGCGGCAGAGTCGCCCGGCGGAAGAGCGGCGGCGACGAGGACGCTGGCTTAAACCTTAACCCCCGGAGAGAGCTCCCTCGTCACAAGCCGCGATCTCTCTGCCGCGGCGAGCGAGCCGTCCGGCCGAGGAGGAGCGGCTTCTTACCTCTTGTTTTATTCGCGCGCAAACCTCCCGCGAACCACCGCACCGCACTTGGCCGTACAAAGCGCCGCGCCATTAGGAGTACGATTTAATATCGCTTTATCGGCCCCAGCCGGTTCGATCCTGAAAGCATTTTTAATGCGAGCGAGTTTCTTAGCCGACAGCCGACGGCCGGGGCTTTGCCTAGATTTCTTGTCGGCGCGGCGGATATCGCCTGCGCTTATCGCATCGACCTTGTCGTTTCTTGACCCCGCGTGCCCCTTTTTAGGACGAGCGACGAGGAGGAACTCGCGACTGCGACTGCGATTCTCTCACGGACGAGTCTTCCATCGGCGTCCAAGCCGTTTCATTAACGTCTTCGATCGTTCCCGCCTTGCGAAAGTGTTTTATTTCGTTAACAATTAATAAAAGGATTAATGGAAAAGGTTAATAATTAATAAAAGGATGTAAGATACTAAAAAAATTAATAGAGATGAACAAACTTCTGCATTATTATCTGACCATCTATCCCTCAGAGAATATTTTTAATATTTCGTTATTATCGGCGTCCCATCTTTTTTTTTATGGTAATTTTTTATCCAAAAACCATGAAAGAAGGAGGGCGTACTAGGTGGCGACGGGACGCCGTGCGTTCGGGACCTGCATCTCATTTTTCGTTCCGAGGAGAGAAACCTAGTACGCCCTCCTTCATGGTAATTTATCCAAATTTTTTTTATGAATCTTTTTTTTTTCACAAAAACTCTTTCTCTACCATAATTCTTTAACGCCCGATTTTTTTATAAGTGTTTTAAAAATAAAATTTGAGTTTTCTCGAACTGAAGCTATAAGCAGTGATAACCAGAAGAAATATCAGAATTTTATATCCACAAAAAACTACCTTTCCAAGCAGAAACTACTCCCAGAAGCGAGAAATACGCCTGATCGGTTGAATTTTTTTTTTTTTAGTTTTAATAATATCTTATAGATCACCATTTAGATAGTCAATCGTCCCTGCATTTTTCGCCGCATAAGAAGCGCTGTAGGTCACTGCGGGTTTCACGAAAATAGCTTGATTTCTTGATTTTCGTGTCCACCATATTGGATTCGCTATTTTGAATTTCTGTATTCTTTTAATTTCACATTTTGCATCTGAGAAAGCTTCCAAATGTATGAAATTATAACAGATACCAATCTATTCATTTATAGCGCACTTTTAGATGTCAGTAACAATGCTAATTATATGCCTACTTGGAATTTGACAAAACTCACTATCATTAAAACTCAGCTAAAAACAGACCGAACCGAATCTACATACATATCATTTTTCTATATACCATTTTTTAGAAGGAGAATTCACTTTTATAGTGGTGCAAAGAAAACGAAAATATCTCCTTTTTTGACTAAGTTATGGATTCTTAAATGCGTTTTTGGTAACTGTAGTCACCAGTAGGCGTTAAAGTATTAAACATTACCCTCTACTGAGTGTGTTAATATGTTGTTGATCATTTATTGCAATAATACAGGTGTGTTTTTTCCGATTGAAAGAATTATGCCCATCTATTCGGGACTTACCCTAATCACGCCCGCGGCGATGATCTCCCATTGGCTAGACTCGCGAGTTATCGTTCGGCACGATTTCTGAGAACCTTGGAATAATGATCGATCAAGCGGCGGACGATTTAAGGCGGTTGATCGATTTAAGGTCGAGTGCCGGGCGTGCGTGCGCGGTGGAAATAATTTTTGCGGAACGTGCGCGTGCTGCGAACGATTAAGCTGGAAACTGGCTCGCGCCAGTAAAAGTCAGCCGACTGTCTTCGAGCGAGAGTTACGTTGTAAAGTTCGTCGGGGAAATAATACATCACGAATTGACCGATGTGAACCTGGCGAGCAACTTAATAAAAAATAAAAAAAAGTGATAAAAGAAACTTAATAAAAAAAAGATTCTCAGTACGGTTCGACTGTACCACTTTTTGTTTCGTTTGTAGCTCAAAAAATAAAAAGCTAGGGAGAGGGGGGAAAATAGGCAGTAAGCAAGCACAAGATGTCCGAAAACGGCCAACGCCATTCGCAAGAGAATCGAATACGAAAGTAACCTCCTGACATATTTTGAAGATCCTGAAGGGAGACGGATGCAAACAATTCTCCCTCGAATGGCGTTGGCCGTTTTGCGGCATCTCAAAAATTGGCGAAAGCACCTCTTGGACGTTTTTTTCAAGATCCTGTACTTTCCGTGCCTTCGAGGTGCAAACGATTTGAAGGGGGGCACAAACGGTTACAAACAATTCTCTCTCGAATGGCATTGGCCGCCATTTGCGATATCTTATACTTGCTCGCTGGCTATTTCTCCCCTCCCCTTCTCTTTTTATCCTTCGAGGTACAAACGAAACAATAAGTGCTACAAACCAAGTGCAACCGTATTGCGAATTTTTTTTTCTTTCTTTTGTCGAGTTGCCTGCCAGGTTCACATCGGTCACGAATTGTCGGGGCGCCGATGTCGATCTCGCTCGCCCGTCCCGGCGAGTTTCCGCGCGCGGACGGACGCGGCCTGGGCAAAGGGAGAAAAAGCGGATCAATCTTACTTGGGAAACAGCATCGCGCGTTTCGCCCCGCGAGATATGCGTCCCAGAGTGGATTGTTCAGAAATTACAGTCTGCCTGTGAGAACGCGTCCCTTCGTCCTACGGCCCGCGGCCGTATTGCGCGACAAGTTTCCCGCGATGTTCCGCGACCCGCGAGATGGCAGCCGATCAATCTACGATGCCGCGAACTCTCGGAGAAGGAGAGAAAGAGCGAGAGAAAGAGCGAGAGAGAGAGAGAGAGAGAGAGATAGTTCCGTCACGTTGGTTGGAAATTGATTTAAAGACCGCGCCCGTGAATCCTTCCGCCGAGAAAACCGCTGCTTCACACGGGGCGCATCTCTCTCCCCCCCCCCCGCCTCGCCCGCCCCAACCCCCGTCACTTGTTTCATTAATGCGAAGCGTAACAGGCAAGAAGCCGGCAGGTAGTACATAATATTGTCGCGCCCGCATTTCCCCGGTGCATACAAATTGCTCTGTCTCGCCGGCTATTTTTCCCGGCCCTCCGGCCCGCGAGAGGTGGGGGAGGGGGGTAGGGGCGATTGGAGCGAATACGTTCGGCGAAAATTTCCCTTTACGGCCATCCTTTACGCCACCTAATCCCCCTCGTAAAAGCCGGCGCTCGTGGCGAGGCGCGCAGGCCGTATAGAAGAGAGCGAAGGAAGCGGGAGGGAGAGTTGGAGAAAAGCTTGAAGACGTTGCGAATAAAAGGAACGATCTCGCCCGGAGGGGGGGGGGGCGAAATTGAGGCGAGATTTCAGCGCGGATTTCGGCGGGAAACAAATCGGCCACACGATGCGCGCCGCGCGTTATCGAAATCCCGCTCTCGCCCGCAACGGCGGCGCTAAATTTTCGGCGGATCGTTCGTCGCGCGCTAATACGATCGCTTTCGCACGAACGGCGGAGGATCATCGTCGTCGTCGTCGTCGTCGTCGTCATCGTCGCAAAACGCGCGTGAATAACGCCGCCGCTGTTAGCCGCGAACGACGACGAACGAGACAAAAACTGGTTTGCGAGCGCCCGACGCTTTCCGTCGTTCGCTCGCGCAGATTGTTGCGCCGAGTGTTCCAAACGGTTTCGACACTTGTCCACTTTTTTCCTTCTTTTTTCGGACGCAGCTCGCGAAACGCACGGCGGCGCGGCGAGGTCGGAGCTGCGAGAACTGCGAGAATTTTTTAGCGAGACCAGTTCGCGAAGTTCTCCCGGCGGCGCTGCGTTCCGGATTGCGCGAGGAAAAATTATCCCGACCGTTTCGAGACGCACACACAGCCGCTCGCGAGACAGTTTAAACGTATTCTTGCCGATGAAGTTGGCGCAGCGCGTCAAAGGGTCGCGATTGCGAGCCATTATTCATGAACTCGCGCGCGCGCGCGCGGAGAAAAATGTCATTCCGCTAAGAAACGAGATTAGTTTCCTCGGTTTGCTCTCCTTCCTTTAAGCGACGCTCGCCTCCAACGAGGAACATTTTCCTGATAACAGTCGTTTAAAATAGCCGGAAAAGTCTCATCATCGTGTGCCCCGGCGAACTGATTCTCTCTCATGAAGAAAAATCGAAGTAAAAGTCGGCGCGACTCGGCGAGGCGGATTTTCCCTTTAATTTAAGGTCCCCGCCGAAAGCGCCGAACTCGCGAGGATCTCAAACGTGTCTGCAGCAAATTGGTGTATTTTGCCAGCCCGGCTCCTCCGTCACAATCGATCGCGCCACGCGAGCCCGCGACCGTTTCGGAAGAATAATGCGCTCCGAGCGCTGCGCGCCCGCTCGCACGCGAATCGCTCGAACATGAATCCGCAATTTCTTCTTTCAGAGTTTACCGCAGACCCCAGCCGGCGGTGCTGGCGGCAAAGCAGGGGCGAGCGGCACCGGCTCGGCCGCTGGAATGGTCAATGGTGCCGGTGCCGATCACGAGAGTATCCGCGACGGCGCTGGAATTGACACGGAACTCGTGAGTATGCGATTTCGTAGAGCTAAAGTAAACATCCGAATAAGGCCGGCCACGTGCCAGTATCCGATCAAAATATAATATTCAAATATTTTTGCAAGAAAATATTTACTGTTTATTTGAACGATAATGAATGAAAGTAATAATTGTTGTAAAAGAAAAAAAAAACTCCTATGTTTGACGACTATTCGGAGAAAGAATATACCCAGTTTGATTTACGCACCTGTGGTTTGGCAAAAAAATATTCAGTCAGTCGTTAATAAATTCATTAAGAGATAACATGTATATTTATATTATTGCCCGCTAGCACATATTAATTTTCTAATTGCGATCAGACACTGGGAGAAATATATCCGAACCGAACATTGGGCCATAATCTATTTCAACTACCCGGTACATTAATGTGCTTCATTATGCAGCAGGGTGTTTAATTTCAAACGTAACAGGTAAAAGATCTCGAAAACTATAAAAGATATTAAAAAAAGTTGAAACACGTGTTCCGTGATTCCGAAGGGGAAAGAGAATGGCATTATCAGTTTTTTATTTGGAGGGCATTTTCAAGGTCAATTGAAGGTCAACTTAATTTTTTGAGGTAGAAAGCCCAATTTTTTACTATATCTTCCTTTCCTACCGATTAATTTGAACAACTTTTGTCTGAAACATTTTTTTTTATTTGCCTAATATTTTTTGAAATATTTAAGGAAAACTTGCTAACTTTTTCAACATTTAACTTACGATATCTCGTTAACTATTCGTCGAAAGAAGAAATAGTATTAGACTTTTTCACTTTATTTATCGACCTTTGGAAATTTCAAAATTATTAAATTAACAAAAGTTAATTTATTATTAATTGATAGTAAAAGAAGATATAATAAAAAATTGGGCCTTCTATTTCAAAAAATTGAGTTCATCAACTGATCTTGAAAATACCCTCCAAATAAAAAACTGATAATGCCATTCGCTTTCCCTTTCGAAACACGTGAAACACGTGTTTTAGCTTTTTTTTAATATCTTTCACAGTTTTCGAGATTTTTTAGCTGTTACGTTTGAAATTTAGTACCCTGTATATATATATATATATATTCGTGTAAATATTTCATCAATAATAGATATATACATTGATTTAAATCATTTTTCTTTTTTCGAGGGAACCTTAAGTTTTCAAATAAATACAAATATTTATATCAAAACTATTCTCAATATTATATATTGTATTTTTTGTGGCGACTTGCACTTAAACGTCCGGTTTCTGAGACATTTACCTTATTTGTATCGCATCGGCAAGAGGAGAGTTCTCTCCTCTCCCCCCTCTCTCTCTCTCTCTCTCACTCTCTCTCTCTCTCTCTCTCTCTCTCTCTCTCTCTCTCTCTCTCTCTCTCTCTCTCTCTCTCTCTCTCTCTCTCTGTCTCTGACGAAGCGCAAGTGTAAGGACGAACATCTTGCGATAACGAGAAACTGTCGTTCCCCGAGAAAATCTGCAAAGAGAATTCTTTGCGTATAAAATCAGTCGAAAAGTTCGCTCCAACTCGCCGCCTCCTCCTCCGGCGGGAGCCTCCGGCTGCCTCCACTTTCCGAGTAGAAAAAGATGCACGAGTGCTATCGAAACGTTTACGAAGGATCGTAGACAACGAATCCCGGGATTACGCGGCCGATGAATAATTGGTTTCCATTGAAAGCGCAACAAGCTCCAATTTAACTTATAAATTGAAGGCGAACTTTCCGACCGGCTCGATATATATATACGTTACTCGACGTGGCCGCAATTTTTTTGAATAACTCGCTTTTATAAAATTCCGACCTAATTACGATTGTTATATGAGAGAGAGAGAGAGAGAGAGAGAGAGAGAGAGAGAGAGAGAGAGAGAGAGAGAGAGAGAGAGAGAGAGAGAGAGAGAGAGAGAGAGAGAGAGACCCCTCGACATGCGTTCTCCCGAGGATTCAATTAAAAAGCTCAACGCGCGCTCGCGCGACTCGCGAGCGAAGTCCTCGACCGCGCGCGGTTTCCGCCTCGCGGACTTTCTCCCGCGGTGCGTTGCGTGCGTTACGCGGCGAAACTCTACGAATATCTCTAATTGTTCGCGGTCAGGTTAATGAGATTCGCCCGACGAGAGAAACAGCATCGTCCCGGCGCGGCCGCGGCGGCGGCGGCGGCGGCGCGGAAGTAGAACAAACCGTTACCTTCCTTTGTCGATAACTCCGGCGCGGCGCGGCGCTTTCGGAAAAGTTTCTCGCAAGTGTGCCACCGCGACAAAAGTTCTATCGCGCCGCGGGGAAGAACCGTAGGCCGGCAAAGCGGCGCGGCGTGGCGATTCGCCGCTACCGCCATTGTTTACCCGCCGGTTCCGCCTCAGTTCGAGCGCGGACCTCTTCATCGCCGCGTTGAGCCCCGCGCGCGAGGGAGACCGTTAGGGCGAATAAAGAGAGCGGGCGGGGGTGGAAAATAAAGAGGCAAAAGGAAGAATAGCGCGCGCGCCGCTACGTCATGGGAAATCACCGTAATTACGCCGCCGAGCCGGGGAAGTTATTCTCGGGCGGAAGAGAGCTCGCCCGCTCGCGCGCTCGAGATTTCATTTAGAGCGCGCCGCGCCTTCTTACACGCTCGCTTCTCGCCGCTTCAAATGCTCTGCATGCGCCGTTGGAAGCTGATGGAAATTCGGCGGCGCGCCGCCGGAATTGCCGTCGCCGGTGGACGAAATTAAATTTATAGTTGCGCGCGCGCGCGCGCGAGCGCGAGATATTTCTTGCGTCACTCGCACTCCTCTTGGCGTGTTGCATGAAAGGACGCGAGCGGACGAAAGGAGGAGAAAAGGAACAGGAGCCGTGCGTGAGAGGATCAGGGGACGTTCTGCGCGTGCCGTCGAGGGAATGCCGCGGAGGGCGGCGGGAGGAGGGAGTCCCGCAATACGGGGGGGATCTAACCAGGCTGGCGCGGGCTGGCCGGCTGGAATTCCGGAATGAAGCGATTACTTCCGAAGTTAACTATTGTTCCCGGCCGGACCATCAATCGGCGCTCAGTCTCCCCGACGATCCTCCCGTTCGCTCTCGCTCGTTCCTTCCTTCCTTTTCCCTTTTTTCCTCGCACGTCGATCCGTTCGCATGGAATTAAAACCGTTATCTGCGTCCCTCCACCGAGGTCTTCGTCGAGGTTCGCGCTGCCGAGGGGTGGATGGGGATGGATGGATGGATGGATGGCTGGATGGATGGATGGATGGATGGATGGTTGGTTGGATGGATGGATGGATGGATAGAGGGTGGACGAGGAGGGATGAATCCACGGACGGACGGTCAGACGACGGACAAAGGGGCGCGAATAGAGATGGAATCGACTGGTCATCCGCAGGCATCCCCGCGCATCTAACGATGTACGAGGCAGTGCATCAATACGTCATCAACATCACCGTCATCGTCGCGCCCGTCGCTTTTTTCAGCCCTCCCCTCCCCCCTGCTCCTCCTCGCGCTCGAAGCAACAGCTCCGATCGACACAGAGCTCTCTCTCCCCGGCTCTTGCCGCGTTCATTCCTCGCCGATTCATCGCGCTCGCGCGCTTTTTACATCGCCCGCGATTCGCGTTCAATCGACGATGCGATCTGGCGTGTTGACGCAGGGCGCGCGGGGGGAGGGGGAGGAGGGCGGTTTTGCACGGTAACGACTTCCTTGCTCCGTTCGCCGCGGTCTCGCCACCGACGCCTATCGTCCGCGGGCTCGTGGGAACATTCTGTGGAATTTTCCTCTTGTGTATATATTTTACTCAGTATAATGACGAGAAACAACGCGCGTCGAGCTCGATAGAACTGCCCCGCCGATGCCCGACGTTTCCGATAACACAGCCCCGCAAAAAAAAAAAGAAAGTGGTCTATTAGATATATTATATGTTGTGGAGTAGCTAAAAATAAGAGACACGTATTTTTTCATACGTGCCCAATTTCATATTTAGGGGTTAAAATCATCGCTTACAAGGTATATCGGTGTACCTGGTTTTGAGAGAGTGTATTTCAGAAACCAGAAAAGATACAGAAAAATGTTTCAGACAAAAGTCGTATGGTTCTTGACGCGCCTTACAACTGTGCGGTTAGATTTCTCAAAAATATTGTATTTTTTTATATCCCCCTCCCACCATCTTTATACTTTTGCAAATTGAAAATTTTTGTAATGACAAGAATTGCAGCATTTTTTAGGCTGAATTCAACCATATACAGCTTAATTTTGTTAAGTGAAGTTGCGATCAGTTTTTTGAGGTTAGGGACGATAAAGCTAGCAATTGTCCAATTCTGACCTCGGATTCGGATTCGGCGAATCAAAATACATAAGAATATACTTGTCCGGTTTTAGGCACCGACCACATTTTTTTTGTGGGTCTGTGTAATCGTCGACGATCCGACGAACTTTCGCCCCGCTCCCTCCGTTCTCCCACCTCGTTTCCTCTTTTTCCTTTTTTTTTTTTGTGATTCTCGATGTTTAATGGCCACGCGTTAATTTGTCGCCGGAAAGACACTTTCCGAGGATGTAATATCCCGCTGCCGATATTTCGAGAGAGGGACAAAAAGAGAAAACGATAGCTTTATACTTCGTTACCGTAACGAATCTGTTCCCTCCCCCCCCCCTCTCTCTCTCTTTTCCTCTCTATCTTTTTTCCACTTTGTCTTTTTTTTCCGCGGGACCTAACCGGATTGCTGCGATTCTTCTGGCTTTATGGGTATCTTTAATCGGGCTTTCGCAAAAGCTCACGCCCACCGTGATTGTTCGTTGCCGTTCGAATCGTCGGCGCGCACGGCAGAGGGGGGGGGGCCGACGGCGGGCGCAGGGGGAGGCGTCAACAATTTTTTCATCGCTTTTCCCCCGTTCTCGCTGCCCCGTGCACTTCCTCTGTTCCATCCCGATCGGATTTTTTGCAATTTTTTCGGTGTCTACCGATTTACATGCGCCAGCAAAATCGACGATGCGCCTACGTCCCGCCTGCTTCGCTCGTCTAGCAGTTTATAATCGAAAAGCGGCGGGGACGAGTT